TGAGACCTCGCTGAAGGGGCTCTTGGCAGCTGCCTAGCCCTGCAGGATCTCTGAATCTCAATGAGACACCGTGTGTGAAAAGAGAGAGAGTTAGTGTTGAAATTACCAGCATCAGAACAATTAAACCAAAGCTGCTGGGGCTGAAAGATTTTTGTGCTTTCTCCATGATTTTGCTTTCCTCTCACCCAAAAGCCTGCCTTTGTGAGTGACTCGTTAAGAGATGGGCCATGACAGAAAGAAGAACAGGGACCAAGAGTGTGTAAGAAACAGTATTTGGACAGAGGGAAACGTAAGAAGTAGAGATACTGTGGTGAGGAGGTGGAGGTGCTGTGAGGGGCTTGTGTCTTTAATCCTGGGAGAGAATCCATGGCTAGACCCTACAAAGGAAGGTAGTTAATCATCTTTAAGTAAGAGTGGGATCAGAACAGCTGTAAGGTACAATACCAGAAATATGAGAGCCAAGAAGAGGAGCAACCAGCAAGCATTAGCTCAGTTGGTTAGAGCATGGTGCTAATAACTGCAAGTTCACAGGTTCAATCCCTGCTTACTGCAGGGGGGGGGCTGGGCTCGATGATCTCTCAAGGTCCCTTCCAACCCAAAGCATTCTATGATTCTATGAATCTCAAGGCAACAAACACCAAACCTAGGACCTCTGGCAAAACTTCGTGTTAACAAGAATGGGACAACACCCTCTGACTCCTGATCCTAAGCACTGTGCCTGGGAAGGGGATTCAGATGGGGGAGGAATTGTCTGAGCATGCCTGGGAACTGGGATGTCTGTTTAGTGATTTCAGAATCAAATTCCCTCCACATCAGAAGAAGGTTTTGTGATTACAAGCTCTTCCACAAGCAGAACTTCAGGAAAAAAAAAAAAAAAGAAAAGAAAAAAAAAAAGAGACCATTTACAAGTATTAAAATATTTAGTGATATTAGAACACTCAGTAATACGAATCACCATTACAGTTACCAAGCTCTATGTGTGTAGTTACTATTCATTGAATGGGAAAACAGAAGCAAACTGAAAGCTAGATGCTCAAACATTTGTATTTTGTTAAGCAGTTACTAGCGAATATTATTCAAACCTTTCTTATAAAGAACACATTCAACATTAGCATGTTTCTGAAAAATGCTCTATTTTTGACCAGATTGCTTTTTCAATGGGAAGTGTTTCCACTGACAGGTTTTTTTCAACTTGCCGTACTAATAAAGCATTTACCATAGAGTTTAGCCCCCAGCTTCTCTTGCAGTTTGCTTTGCTTCGTTTAATAAATGGCCACTTAGGTCATCTGTGAGTTCAGAGTTTAGATCAACAGTGAAGGAAAGAGAAGGCCTGAAGTGTTCAGCCAAAGAAGAGGCCCACGGACAGATAGCACCTGACCAGGACTCCCTGTAATAGTGCTTATTGCCTCTGAGCACAGAGTATCGCCTGGGATTGCACATGGAGCTTACCATTTAAGTAACATTATTTAAGAAAACTTTGCAGGCCATTTAAGTCCATGGCATCTTACTGAACTAGAGACAGAGTTATAAGGATTTTCATGGTCATTTCATAATTCATCATTTCTTCATAAGTTATGAAAAAGAAGGCCAATTTATGTTAGTGTCTGGGTGATTACTGAGGTTTCGGCTGGAGCTGGCTGAACATCCTTGATTTTATAGTCAGTACAATTCCACTTTTCTCACTATCCATAAGGAATAGCTTTAGTGCCAAGAAGGGAAAGCAGAATCAGGTCCCAGGGTGTAGAAAAGTTGGGATTGGCCACGATAGCACGTTTCAGTGCCTGCTGACCTAGCTGTAGTTTGGGATAGGACTAACATTGCTGGTTAAGGCACAAAAAAATAAGACGCATTAAAAAAAAACCTATCTAGTCACTTCAAGATTTATACAGTTTCTTCTCTCATTGCTCTTATGTTCCACATCTCCCTTGATTTAGACCAATGTGAGATAAGGCTCACATATTGTGTCTCTTGCTTTGTGGACTTTCCTGAATATACAAGTGACATCTGCAGAAGTTGGCGCAACTTTTCTTTTGCGTTTGGAGAAGAAATGAACTGAGTACAGCCTATGTTTTCTCCTCCACTTACTCTGGAGCTTGGATCAGAAAGGACTCAGTTTCCTCTGTCACTGAAGGCGTGTGGCACAGATGTGAAGCCTTGTAAAACATTAAATGATCAGCCAACAACTCTTAGGGTTTGGATGGGGGGGGAAGTTATGCTTCAGATAAGTTCCTTAGTTTTCAACATAAATGTGCCATGCTGAAATCATCTGCTAGGTATTCATCTGTGTCTGCATGGACATTAGGGAGATGAAAATAAACTGGATTCACAGTAGGTGCTTTTTGTGGTTATGATGGCCATTCCCTAGGAGATGACTTTGTCTACTTCTATGCATTGCTAGGGGATTTGGCTTGAGAGCAGAGGTTGTAGCTTCTAGTGACCATGGCTTTGGGAGTCATACAGTTGAGCAGTTAGAGTATGATTTCACTTGGTGTGGAGCCTGCTGACTGTTATGAGACTTGCAGCTCCAAATGCGGGTAGCACTTGCTGTCACACCTTAATCTTCTTTCTGAACCCCTGCATTTCTCAGTCTGTCAGCCTAAGTTAAAACTAATCAGTGCCTTGTGTTTGTGGAGATTTTAATGTGCATTAAATACGGAGGGTCTTGACAGCCTCCAGGGACTGGGGATGCTTGGGGATATATCAAAAGAACAGCTGGAACAGACAGCTTCTGTTTCTCTGTCAGAGTCCCCCTGTGGAAAGCTTACTCCTCTATGCTGATTCCCCAGCAGGACAATCTCTTGAATACCCGTGTAATTTTTTATTGAGTGTCTGCCAGTGAAAGGGGATGTATTGGTGATAGATACTTGGTGAGGGAAGCAACTGTTACCGCTTGTTTCAGGATCTCTTAAAGTCATATTGCCTGCTTTGGTGCCATTCACAGTGTGCTTGGGATGTCTGTCCCAGTGGTAAAGGCTAAGTGTGAGTTCCCCTTTCTGCCCCACTCACCTATCTTTGGTTTTTCGGTTGTTTTTTTTTTTCTTTCTTCCCATGTTCATTAGAGCTCTGAAAATGTAGAGCATAGGTGAAGAGGATTAAAATAATCTAATGTAGGGGCTGAAATGGGTGGATGGACAGTGGTAGGCCATTCCAGTGGTTCATGTGTTCCAAACATTCTCACAGGAAATAATTGGTATACTGGGTTTCCTAAATATCTATGTGAACCACTTGTTAAAATGCTGCACTGTGACGTAAGAAGTATACTGTGTCTAGAAATTATTCAAATGCCCAGTGTCTCTCCTTTGTTTCCTGAGCTTTTGGTGGGTTATGGAGATGTAAAATACGTATCTGCTGCTGTCTAAAATCATTAAGGAGCAGTGAAACCTTCTGAGAGCCGATGTTGTCAACTCTTCATACAACTATAGCTTTTGAAATGACAAAATTCTTAAGAATTTCAGCTTTTATTAAAAAAAAAAATCTAGTCATTATGGTCTTTCATTTTGTAAACATGAAATCCAAAGAGGTAAGAAACCAAAGACAGACTTAAAAAAGAGTGTATGATGTAATGCTTTTTTAAGGTGATGTCAGAAAAGTTTCTGGAGCCATGAGCCCTGAATTTTTTAACTTCTGAAGTTGAGTGAATGGACCTGCTTTGCCTCTTTACCAACTAGAGCATGCCATAACTGCACAAATTTTGTTCTAGCTATTTTTTGACATAGATCATGCACAAATTTCTCCTCTGTCCCTCTTTACATTATCACTGATATTTCTGAGCTAGTCTGACTTGGCATGTCAGAGCTCTCTCCTTACTCTCTTGTTCAGTACAGGTTTGATGATTCTGTTGCTCTTGCAAAAAAAAGCTTTATTCTGATTTTCTTGCTACCCAGCTCAATGCCGTGAGATGCAGGGAAGTTTTGAACTCTTCTCATTTAACTGGATTTTCAAATGTTGACTTGTGAACATTCTTTGTAGCTCAGATAACGAAACTATTAAAAAGGTAAACAAACAGCTTTGGGATTCAGGCAGGGGCATGATCTGTGTCTTTAGAAGCCATTTGTCTTCTATATGGTTGATTGGAATTGTCTGTATGGTCTGAAGTTGCTTTCTGAATGAGTGTTTTAGCAGATCCACTTGATGACTTCAGCCTCTACTGTAGGCATTTATAAGTAGACTGTAATTTATTGTAGTTTTCGAGAGCTAGCAGCTGCCTGCTTAGGTTCAATGAGAAACCAGTTTATGCTCCTGCCCATTGGCAAATCTGATAGCCTGAGACTGGTCAAGGGTGAGGGGGCAGAGAGGCACAGAGAACTGAAGGAATTTGCCCAAGGTAGTTTTGAAGATGAGCAGGAGACACAGGCTAAGCACCTAGGATTCTTGATCTGCAACCTAGTGCCTTTATCCTTTTACTCATGGTGCCTTCTGCCCCTGCTAGGATATAGTGCTGAGATTTGGGAGACATTACATTAAACTGGCTCCAGGAATTCCTTTTTAGAAGTGCAGCTGATCCTTGAGAAGAAGAAATGTCAGTGTTAAAAATGACACCGACTACTAACTCTGATCCAGTGAAACAGTACCTAAGAAAATTTCAGCCCCAGTGCTTAGTGATGACTGGATAATTCATCACTGCTTTATTTTGTATAGTCTTTCCCACAGACTGAATCCCTGTTTGTGTGCTTCAGAAAGTTAAAAAACAGTTACACAGATAATGACAGCAGAGGAAGAAGGAAAGTAGGAGACAAAAGAGACAGGCAAGAAGATGTAGTATCTGAGGAGAATTGGGAATTGGGAAATGATAGAGAGTTAATGAGATACGGGAGCAGGCTGTTGTATCAGAAGGATTTGTAGAAAAGGTTTTCATCTCAACATCAATAGAAATCAAGCATGTGGTTGAGTTACTGTTTAAGGTAAACTTGAAGTAAAAACCCTCCTCAGGTTTTTTATTTTTTTTATTCTTTAGTATCTCCTCATTTTCACAGAGAGGATTTCTAACTGACAGATAGGATATGTTTGTCATCGTAGGTTCTGAGTCTGCTTCTCCACGTGGCACCTTGGAGTTTCTAGCTGGCACCATTACCTCCAACGAGTGGAGTTCTCCCACCTCCCCTGAGGGGAGCAACGACTCGGGGGGCAGTGAGGCCTTGGACAAACCCATTGACAATGACGCTGAGGGTGTGTGGAGTCCGGACATTGAGCAGAGCTTCCAGGAAGCGCTAGCCATCTACCCACCATGTGGACGGCGGAAGATTATCTTGTCAGACGAAGGCAAGATGTATGGTAAGGAGAAAGAAAGGGCAAATCGCAACGCTCCAGGCAGCCTGCCCTGTGCAGGCCACTTGCCTTGTACCAAATGATGTTCTGAACGAACTCTTCTCTCAGGTGATCCCAAGGTGATGCAGTTGGTCGCTTCAAGTTATATTTAGGAAAATCAGTGAAGATTTTAACATTCCATGCACACAGATCAGAAAGAATTATAGTTGTCTTTTTCAGGGGAGTATCACTAATGTACATCCAAGGTGCTACTGAACTAATCTTTGGATAGGTATCATATAATGGCTTCATAGTGCGACTAAGTCTATCTTTTATGCTATCTCTCACTGCTGTCTCCAACATTCTTATTACCCTAACAGGTAAAGGCCTGTGTCTCTGGTGCTAAAGGGCATAAGTTAGCCCCTGAACCCCTAAATGGATTTGCTGGTGGTGTGCAAACACCTACAGTTTGTTAACTAGCTACACTTTTGAGATCTTAAGGAGGGCACAAAACAGACCTCTCTGGCTGCTCCCTTTCATTGTAGTTTGCCTTCCTATAGCCCTGGCATGAATGTCTTTCACCTGTGCATTCTTCTCAGCTAGCTACCTAGATACCCAGCCCTGAATGCACAGAAGTGCTGGCTTGCAGCTGCAGCAGAAGTCAACTTTTTAGGTGGTAGCCATGATTTTTAATTGGATTTTTGACTTATTCCACAGTTAAAATTTCTCTCTTGAGTTTGTCCACAAAAAAGTTGGTCTGGGCTGGATTCTCTAGCTCTGTACTGGAAGAAGCCATCTGATACTTCTGTATCTACTTCCGTGACTAGAAAGCAAAGCAAAGGCTGACAGTGCACGATATTTGGTTAAAAGTTCCAAGGTGTTAAAACTGTTTCTCAAAGCACTGGCAAGGATCTTATGGAAGGCAGCCCTCTTCCTACCCAGTCAGTGCTTGCTTTTTTTTCCCTTTACATTGGAATCTGTGTGTCCTTGCAGGCCCCATCATGGGAGCACCCATGCCCTGAAGCTTTGTGTGGAGCACTTCACAAGTCATTCTGCAGGTTTCTGTCCACCCATCGGGCCATTGTTCCCTGAGCTAGGGAATGGATTGCTGTCACTATGGGGGCATGGGTGGGGTCTTGTTTACACAGCCTACAACGGATGGTTTTACTAAGTACATACATACATCATTGTTTCTGTACAGAGTAATATATGTTGAGTAAGGCTTATCACCCTGAGGCTCAGCAAGTGTCAACAGTCTGATGTAGACATCAATTCCTGCTCTATGCTGGCACAAACGTTTTTCTGGTTGTGTTATGGAACTGACCAGGGAACTGATCCAGCTTGAAACTAACACAGCCAGAAAGGGGAAAAACGTGAATTTTAATTTGGGTATGCCCTCTGATTTGTTTCACTGCACTGCTGCTTGTGCTGGTACTTAGAGAAGGGATGATGAGAGTGGGAATGAGCAGCCATGGTTGAGATGAGGGTAGGACTGCTTCTTTCAGAAGCAGTGCTTGCTTAAAATGTTTTTCAAACCAAAATATTACTTGAAAATCCACCCCATGGTTATTAAGCATAGATTAGTGACATGCTCCTTGCTGTTGTAAGTCTGTACTAGTTTTCATGACAGATGACTTTTAAAATTACAGGTGAAAAATTACAGTCGTGTTTTAAGACTGCCTTCATTTCCTAATCATTCTGCATAGTCCCCAAAGTACTCCAGCTTTGGAGTGGATGTGTCAGAGCAGAGAGCAGAATGGACCAGAAAAGAAATGAGCGAGAGCAAAAGTAAAAATGAAGTAGAATAGACTACAGAAACAATGAGATTTAGCGTGGATTGGTGTTTCATGGAAAGACTCTAGTTAACTACAGTGGTGAGCTGCAGAAGGTAAATAAACCACTTGCAGGGTGAAAAGTTTAGGCTAGGCTCTGGGAGAAGAAATGAACAGCTTTTCTGCAAGCCCTCCCCCACTACTCCAAATGGGACAGTGTCCCTGCTTGCCTTCAGTGCACCTGTTCCCAGTGTGGATGGTTGGTTCAATGTGCTCCTGACAGAACCCGAGGCACTGATTTATGCCCTCCTTTGCTTACTAGTCTCCAGGATCCACGCCAAGGAAGCGGGGCCCAGCCTGGGATCTATAGAAAGATATGACCAGGCCGGGAGAATAAATATAGTCCCTGATTTCATCTTCACCACTTATGAGCCAGCTCACGGAACAGGACAAGCTGTATGTAGAGCCAGACCTGCCTCCAAGGGATGGTTGTTTAGCTGTCCCATGACCAACTTACACAGAACTCATTGAACCAAGGGGCGAGGTGTTACGTGGAACTGTATATGCCCCTTCCCCTGACAAAGAAGGAACCATTTCACTGTTTCCAACTGAGGAGCGGCTCGTGTGGTACTAGTCTTTTGGACATGATGTTCCAGGTCCCAGCATCTCTTCTATGTGCGATTTATATACTTCTCAGCTGTTGCGAGGCAACCTGTTATCAGTTTAAAGTTAGTAGCTTTTAGCAGCAAACATGTTGAACAAGCTGAAGTGCACCAAGCCAATATGAAGAACTTGCACTGTTTTGCTTGAATATGTTTAAAATTGCACAGAAAGGTGTGTTTCAGGCTATACACAGGCCTCATGCTCATGTTTCCTAGCCTTTTCCGAGTCGGCTTGCTGCTTACAGCTCTTTAGATGACACTCTGCTGATTGCTGAGTGGACATGATTCCTACTTCACCTGGAAGTCAGCCGAGCTCTTCTCTGTACACTGGCGATCTATGTCTTGATGCCTTTGCTGCCTTCTTTTCTTTCACTATCTTTTTTCCTCCTAGACATGCTCCATTACTGGAGGGAGCATCCTGACTGAATAAGCTCATACCACAGCACTGCTCTGGGTACAAGCCCTCACTGTCCTCTCCAGCAGTCTCTGCTTACCACCTGCTTAAGGCACAAAAATCTGTCTTGTCTGATATGGGACGCAATCTTTTCTCCTAACCATTGTGTTGACATTAGAAGCAGTGAGTCCAGGGCACCGTTAACTTACTAATCTGGTGCCTTCTGGTACCACTGAGGTCCCACAGGATAATTTTTGTGTTACCTGCTAGAGTACTATGTGGGTACTGTATTACAAATCTGGCTTTTACATTTTCCAACTATGTTTTTCCACGGGAGAAATAATATCTGTAGCATTTGTACCAAATAAGCAATCATAGAATTTGGTGTTAGAGTCACTGTCTCCTGGCATCTTCAGTACTGGTCTAGAGAAAGGAGAGGAGAAAGCTTAGTAACTTTGTGTGATTTGCATGGAGATGGTAAATAGAGCAGGTCTCCCAACACTACTGAGGACAGAGAAATAAAAAAACAGTAACTAGCAAAGTGATATTTATTTTGACAAAACACTGCTGGGGCCTTGATTTACAAGTGAGGAAGTAAGAGCTTAGAAGAACTGAGCTACTGCCTTAGCTGTACAGTGTTCCCTTCCACTGCACCAAACATCTGGCTTGGAGCACTTTTTTGTAAGAGCTAGAATTGGCGGCTGTTTGTTAGACTGCTGTTCGACAGGAGGCAGTAGTTTAGCAGCTGGTATACAAACAGCTCAGCCATTTCTGTGCTGAGCAGGGTGGGGCAGACAGCTGGGGGCAGTCATCTATCTCCCAGGCTGGTGCCATCTGTTTGTGAGTCAAAGCCCTGATACCATTGACAGGAAATACTTAAAGATGTCCAAAGCTCAGAAGCTGAATGATAGAAGGATAGTTAACCATGTTACTAATTAAAACCTGGAGCAGGCAGTAAACTGCAAAGACTTGAGCTTGCAACATGAATTAAGCTGGCATAAAAGGTCAGTCTGATGCCGAAACCCCCTGAAGTGACTAGGTAAATTTGCAGGATATTGCTTTCATCTCGAAGGGACATGTTATCAGTTAATGTTTTCCTCAAGCTCAAAAAGTCACTAAAAGTAAAACTGAAAAGGAAACAAATAAACCTGAAGAAGCACAAGACATACTCTGCCTGTCCCAGTTCATAAATGCTACTTCCTCTTGAGGGGAGGGAGAAGCATGGCAGCTATTACAAATATGAAAACCTTCAAGGTGTCAGTCTTCACACGCTTTCTTCTATATCTAGTTTAGCCTCTCACCTGATGATGTTTCAGTCAAAACAATTGGAACATGCTGAGAATGTGCTAAGTTGATGCTGAACTGGCTGGCCCAGGTAATTGCAAAATTTGGATTTCAGCTGTGATATCCCTCAGAGAGATACTTCTGCAGTTCCTATCCCTTCCATTATTATGACCTAGTGAACTGTAGAACAACCCTTTATCCCACAGTTTTGGTAACAAAATTCAATCTCCCATTTTGAACACTAGAACACAGATGAAACTTAGATTCATGGACAGTTGGCCAAGATGCAGACTTTTCCCTCCTCTCCTTTTCCTGGTGGTAGGTATGATGTTTTTGGGGTTGCTCAATAACAAGGTTTTGTTTCACTGAGTCAGCTTTCAACTTTGCTTTTTTGTGGTTGTAGTTCTTTGCTGGTGACTAGGTGATGACTACGTGAAGCCAGATTTCTGGAGACCTTTGCAACAGGTTAAATTTCTGCTGGAGTTTGTCAAGTTTTTCCTTCCATATCCTTTGTAAGCCAAGTTTAGGGTTCTTCATGTTAAACTGTATGTCAGTTTAACTGGTGTTTTCTCCATGCAAACATAAAAAGAAATATTTTTCCATGAGTTCCAAGCATTTCCTGCATATTGAGAAATTTACCACTTTTGAAATGCCAGCCAACCAGGAAACTGCTTCCTGTTGCAGTTAATGGAGTTAATAGTACTGGCTGTGGCATCTTGCCTTAACATACTTAGTACTGAACAGAAATATATTAGCAGTTTTATTGCATATTACATGTTATCATAATTATTGGGACTACTTTTTGGGTGGCTTTATTCTGTTGTTCCAACAAAGGGCACATACTTTTTCCTGTCCCTTTTGATTTTTAGCAGCTTTGTAGTCTCATGTCTATCTGACAGGCTTAAAACCAAGCAT